CACTTTGGAACTTTAGCGCGAGTGGGGGCTTTTAGACTAAAGGGAGGACCTATTGCCCCCACCAGCCCCCACTCCTGAGCGGTGGGTGGGGGCCCTAAATTAGAATAAGGGGGGACCTAATGTCCTCCCCCGTGGCCCCCACCCCTGAGCAGAGGGTGGGGCCCTAAATACCAATAAGGGGGGAGGACCTAATGTTTTCCCCCTGCCCCCCACCCCTGAGCGGCGAATGGGGGCCCTAAAGTAAAATGATGGGGGGGACCTATTGTCCTCCCTCCTAGCCCCCACCCCTGAGTGGTGGTTGGGCGCCATAAATACTAATAAGGGGGTGGACCTATTGTCCTCCCCCCTGGCCCCCACCCCTGAGCGGTGGGTGGGGACCCTAAATACTAATAAGGGGGGACCTAATGTGCCCCCCTGGTCCCCACCCCTGAACGGTGGCTGGGGGCCCTAAATTAGAATAAGGGGGGACCTAATATCCTCCCCCTGGCCCCCACCCCTGAACGGTGGCTGGGGGCCCTAAATTAGAATAAGGGGGGACCTAATGTCCCCTGAGCAGTGGGTGGGGGGACCCTAAATACCAATGGGGGGACCTATCGTCCTCCCCCCATAGCAGCGGGTGGGGGCCCTAAATAAAAATGTTACCCCCAAGGTGACTAGGGGCTCCCAAACACCTAGTCAACCCCTCCCCCCAAAAAATTAACCCCTACCTACCCCCCTCACCCTTAACATAATGAGGGGGGGTCCTTTAACTAAGTACATGTAAAAAAAAATCAAACTTACCATTTGATGTTTTCTTTCTTCTAAAATCTTTTTTGAACACCAAAAAAGGCCAAATAAAAAATCCATAATAAGCGACGCACTTAAAAAAAAAACCAAAAAATGACTGAGCTCTGCAGAGCGGGGGAAGACTTATAAAGCCATGCTCCGCCCTGCAATTAGGCTCAGAGCACTCTGATTGGTGAGTTTAAGCCATCCAATCAGAGTGCTCTGACTGGTAAATGAAGAGACTGACAGGTAAGTCTCTACATTTACCTGTCACAGCACTCTGATTGGTTGGCTTGAAATCCACCAATCAGAGTGCTCTGTGTCATTTTACACAGCGTGGGAAAGTTCTTTGGAATTTTTCCCACACTGTGTAATTTGACTCATAACTCTCTGATTGGTTACTTAATCCACCAATCAGAGTGTTATGAGCATTTTTTTTTTAAAGTGAGCACTATTTAATAGACATGCCCCTACTCACAGTATAGCGAGTAGGGGAATAATTGACTAATACTAAGTAATCTATACTTAGTATTAGTAAATTTGGCTGAAAGACCAATTTAGGTCTTTCAGCCTTTTAGTAGATAGTTCCCTAATACCGTGGGAATTGGGGAGTTATCTACTTATTCATTCCTGTCATTACATTGACAGGCTAAGTAACTTACATTTTATATGAATGTATGTTACTTGATTGTTGTAAGTGTTGCAAATGCTTACAGTTGAATCCTGGCTATGTTTGTATACTTTTTATTTAAAATTGTATACAGTGTAACATTCTTCATTCTTCCACTGGGTAAGTATATTAGTTCTTAGGCAATACTGTGCTTCAGAACTTCAGCACTTCGACACTTCGGAACTTCGGCACTTCAGCACTTCGGAATTTCGGCACTTCGACACTTCGGAAATTTGGTAATTTCGGAACTTCGGGACTTCAACAATTCGGTAATTAATCTATTCGGACATTTGGAAGTACCCGAACGTCCGAATTGCCCGAAATTCGGCCGAATTCACATTCGGACCGAAACTAATTGCACATGTCTAATTAAGACAAAAATGCTCCCCAGACAAGTAGCCTCTTCAAATACATTAAATAGGTCACGAAATACAGCACTGATGTTGTCCAGTCCACTTGCAATATGGGAACTAAGAAGGTATGGAAATATGTTACACTTACATTCACACTGTTATTGCTCACAACAACTAAAATGCATTAACATTTCACACAAACATTGACATGCACTCACACGGACACAAGCTTCTACATTTATGAGCACCATTAGGCCCGTGTATGATATACTGGTAACATCTAATACAATGCACACGGCCATTTTTCAACTGGATTATCATGAGTTATCCCTCTTTTGTGCAGAAGTATTTATGTAATGACAACAATATTTGGCTACATTCCCCTCCCGATTTTCCAAATGAGGTTCTGGATCTTCCTTTGCTGAGGATGTAAATCTACCCTTGAGTATGAACTATTTTTAATAGGGCACATAAAGTGAATCGGAAAGGCTTTTTATTCAGCCCATAATGTTTGAACATCAGTTGAAATATAATATCCCATGTGGTTATCAAATCAAGGATTATGGTATGTAAAGCGTTACAGTTAGTAAATGGGAAAAATATTTTCACTGTTCTAGAGTTAACTCATCCACTCAACTGGTATTGCTACAAATACAAAATCACATTTTATCCTAACATGTAATATGCCTGTGATTTATAATTTACTATCTTCTGAAGGCTAAACCATACTCTTAAGGAATCACCCATAATAAGACCCGTTTGAAGGTAAAGTACAACAAAAAGTGAGCAGCCATTAACAGGCGTAATTAGTGGTATACCTTGTAGGTCATTCCAAAAAAATAAGTGATATATTTGCAAAGGTTGATAACACTTAATAGCTCCATGGATGGAGTAATGTAAATAAATGTTAAAAGTGTAAACTGTAATCATTGTGTAGTACACATAACAAAATAGACCCAGATATCACTGAACCATATTTCCAATGATGCTTAGCCTGGCCAAACATCAGGGAATATGTGTTTGTAATCGTCTTGGATATTAAGCTCAGACATCATTCCTCCAAAAACAAGGCAAGGGGTGAAACAGGCATGCTGTTATATCTAATTAGCGTTTTTTTAAAGACTCGGTAAAAAGGGGTATAACATATCTTTCAAGTGACTATTTTGTGTTACAAACTTTCAGACACAAACCTCCCATTCCTATTTTCTAAAACTTACAAAACGATTACTCTTTCAGAACATTATGTAATAACAGTAATTGCAACTAGACTTGTGAATTCTATTTCAAACATATTCGTCAGTCAGTGGGATGTCAAAATTCCTTAATACTAAAGTGCCTTATGGACAAATCACGAAATGGACAATGGATGAACATTTTTTTTTCTTATGTTTTAGTATTCTATCCATGGCACCAAAAAAAAGATGATTGATGGTTAGGGTCAGTGGTGTATTTTGGATTTGTGCTGCACTAGGGATGATGGAACTCGGGCAGCCCCTTACTTACATTTTCCCCACCCCTTCCTGTCAATGCCACACCTCTTCCTGTTAAAGACTAACACACTTTAACTGACACACACTCTCAGATACACTGACATACACACACTGATTTGACACAATCTGACAGACACACACAATCACCGACAGACACACACACTCACTGACACACACAATGACACAGACACACACACACACATTCATGGACAGACAAACACTCACTTGCTCACAGACACACACAGACAGACACACACACGCTCCCTCAGACACAGAGGCTCCCTCACAGACACACACTCACAGACATACACACACTCACAGAGAGACACACACAAAATCACTCAGACACACAGGTGCCCTCACAGACACAGGTGCCCTCACAGACACACAATCACTCAGACACAAACACACATTCACTGACAGACACTCACAGATAAACACAGTCATCCAGACACAAAGGCTCTCTCACAGACACATACTGACAGGCATACACACACACACACACACACACACAAACACACTCACAGACACACACAATCACTCAGACACAAACACACACTCACTGACAGACACTCACAGACACACACAGTCATCCAGACACAAAGGCTCCCTCACAGACACATACTGACAGGTATATACACACACACACACACACACACAAACGCACTCACAGACACACACAATCACTCAGACATATGCATTCATTCACTGACAGACACAAACACACACACACACACAAACTGACAGATATACACCCACAGACACACTGATAGACATACACACACACTGACAGCCACACACACAAGCATTTCCCCCCAACACGCACAGATTATTTATTGTAATATAAATCCACCCAGCCTCCCTATCATTGAGAGAGCTGGGTGGATTTTTTTTTACCTGGGGTCCAGTGGGGCTGCTGGTCAGGCTGTTTGGGCAGAGAGGCATGTAGGCAGGCAGCTAGCTGAGTTCCAGGAATGTGATGTCATATTCTGGCTCTCGTCATCACTCAGCAGTGCGTGAGCATCGAGAGCTCAGAAATCAGCGCTCCCTTGCCGTCCGCCTGGAACTCAGCTAGCTGCCTGCCCCGAGGACAACAAGGTATTTTCCTGGGCATTTCGGGGCATCGTTTTTTGCCACCTCCTGGAAAGTGCCGCCCAAGGCAGATGCCTTATTTGCCTCACGTCAAATACAGCGCTGGTTAGGGTACAGCCACTGAACGTTGATTTCATTCACAGATCCCGAAAGAATTGACCAATAAAGGGAAATGGGGAAGCAGTAAAAAAAAAATCTATATTTATAAATATTTATAAATGTTTATATTATATATTTAACCACCTACAAATCTTGCACGCGAATACTTTGCCGTTTTTATGGCTGGTGCAACAATGTTAAGCAAACTATCCACTTTACAAAAAAAACGGCACTCCAAGTTGCAGCATTTGACTAACAAAGTCCTTGGAATGCATTTTCTTCGATCAAGTATTACATATTCAAAAAATACTTTTTATATATATATATATATATATATATATATATAAATATAGTGTTCAAGTAAAGATTGTAGCCGTATTAGTCCAGTGATGTAGATGTAAAAGATGTAAAAAACAGATTAAAGTTGTATCTTGTAATACCTTTTTTATCGGACTAATAGAATTTTTTAATGACAAGCTTTCGAGAAAACCTCCATTTCTCAAGTCTAAAGATACAAATTTTATCTATCTATCTATCTATCTATCTCTCTCTCTCTCTCTCTCTCTCTCTCTCTCTCTCTCTCTCTATATATATATATATATAGAGAGAGAGAGAGAGAGAGAGAGAGAGAGAGAGAGAGACTTTTTTGCTGCTAATCCTTTCTTTCCCTTGGTTACTTCTCACTAGGTCTCACTAGGTATATGAACCAAATTGCAGGAAAATGCACTCAGTATATTACAAAATACAGGCAATACTTATATAATCTAAATACTTAGCAGTATGTTGATTTGCCCATTTTCGTACCATGTCAGTTTGTCCAAACTTTCCCCAGAATGACTGCATGTACAAAAGCTGAAACCCCAAATCGACAAATATCGGTCCACCCAAACAAAGTATTTTTCTTTTTGGATGGAATGGTTGCACAAAAGGTTTTTGGGCAACTATACAGGAAGGTTTAATATACAAATTGAAATGAGATGTACACTTCAAAAATAGATGTATCATCCTACCTACCAGGTCTCCACACAGGACTAAAAAAGTGCTGAAAAGGTTAATAAAAAGGTTAATAAAGTTTGTGAGCACCCACCTCCTTACAAGAAAGCGAGACTTCAACTTCCATGTTCCCCACATCTGAAGGAGTAGATGTTATCTGGGTAAACAGAGACTGCTCGTTTCCACATTAATGTTACCCCCTTATCTTTCTCCATTCTTCTGTACTGGATCTCATTTCTAAGGTTAGATTGTTGCGGTATGTACCCTGACAAATGATTACTCGCATACTCCAAAGGGACAGTACTTGCTGAAATTGTGAAGTTACAAATGCTATTGTTTACAATCTACTTCCCTTTTGGCTGTGTAAATCTGGTAACTAGTGCTAAATTTAGAGATTCTGGAAATGCAGAATCTGTGGTTCTTCCCTCAGTAAAATAAATATAAAAGTTGTTCAGATATAGCTGAAACACGTACTGCTACTAGTAAAAATAAACAACATCTGGCATCTTTCATTTACACAACCTAGCATAATTTAGTCCTTTTAATTGCAGTTACAACATCATTTCCCTAAAAATTCCAGAATTACACTTGGAGGTTCGCACAGTCACTGAGCTTCACACGGTCACCAAGACAACAGTACATGTGATGTAGAGAATACCATTTGACACACAGGATAGGTGAAGGACATTTCCCTGTGAGGCTCAGCTTGATCAGATCAGTTGTTCAAAGATTATGACTGTCCTTGGACCTCTATAGGGTATGTGCTGCCTGAGATCACAAAATGTTTAGTTAGTTACATATCTTGACATGTCAGCCATGCTAAGAAAAATAGAATGTGACGGCAGATAAGAACCATTCGGCCCATCTAGTCTGCCCAATTTTTAAAATACTTTCATTAGTCCCTGGCCTTATCATATAGTTAGGATAGCCTTATGCATATCCCACACATGCTTAAACTCCTTTACTGTGTTAACCTCTACCACTTCAGCTGGAAGGCTATTCCATGCATCCACTACCCTCTCAGTAGAGTAATACTTCCTGATATTATGTTTAAACCTTTGCCCCTCTAATTTAAGACTATGTCCTCTTGTTGTGGTAATTTGTTTCTCCTTTTAAATAGAGTCTCCTCCTTTACTGTGTTGATTCCCTTTATGTATTTAAATGTTTCTATCATATCCCCCCTGTCTCGTCTTTCCTCCAAGCTATACATGTTAAGATCCTTTAACCTTTCCTGGTAAGTTTTATCCTGCAATCCATGAACCAGTTTAGTAGCCCTTCTCTGAACTCTCTCTATAGTATCAATATCCTTCTGAAGATACGGTCTCCAGTACTGCGTACAATACTCCAAGTGAGGTCTCACCAGTGTTCTGTACAATGGCATGAGCACTTCCATCTTTCTACCGCTAATACCTCTCCCTATACAACCAAGCATTCTTCTAACATTTCCTGCTGCTCTATTACATTCAGTGATATATCCTGGTTTTGTGCTGCCCTAGGCAGGACAAAACTCAGATGCCCCCTCCCCCCGTGCCACCCCCACCCAACCCTTCCCCCTGCCCCGCCTTCTAAATACACACACACACACACACACACATTCACTGACAGATACGCATACACTAGCTAACAGAAACACTCACTCACTAACAGACACACACACTAACAGACACACACACACACTAACAGACACACACACACTAACGGACACACACTAACACACTAACAGACACACACACAATAACAGACACACACACACACTAACAGACACACACAGTAACAGACACACACTAACAGACACACACTAACAGACACACACAGTAACAGACAGACACACACAGTAACAGACACACACTCTAACAGACACACACAGTAACAGACACACAGTAACAGACACACACAGTAACAGACACACACACACTAACAGACACACAGACTAATAGACACACACACTAACAGACACACACACACACACACACTAACAGACACACACACACGCACACTAACATACACACACACACTAACAGACACACACAGTAACAGACAGTCACACACACACACACACACACACACAAACAGACACACACTAACAGACACACACAGTAACAGACAGACACACACACTAACAGACAAACACACAGTAACAGATACACACTAACAGATACACACTGACAGACACACACAGTAACAGACATATACACACACTCACTCACATTAACATATTTTTTTTTTATTAAACCCCCCCAGCCTCCTTACCTTTGGGAATGCTGGGGGGGGATTCCTCTTTCTCCCTGGTGGTCCAGTTGCTCATGGGCTGGCTGCTGGGCGGGCGGCTGGCGAGGGAACTCTTCCCCTGAGCACTCTGCTCAGCTCCCTTGCGCACCTCAGAGTGAGGCTGGGAGCCGGAATATGACGTCAGACAGCTCAGAGGAAGAGCTCCCTCGCCAGCCGCCTGCCCGCCAGCACCCCCCGACCGCCCAGCAAGGCTAACTAGGCATTTGCCCTGGGCATTTGGGGGGCGGTGTTTTTTGCCGCCCCCCTGAAAAATGCCGCCCAAGGCAAATGCCTTGTTTGCCTCGCGGCTAATACGCCCCTGATTACATTGTCTGCCTACCTTTAAATCATCAGAATAATCACACCTAAATCCCTTTCATCAGATGTTTAGGTAAGGACTCTATCAAATATTCTGTACTCTGCCCTTGGGTTTTTACGTCCAAGATGCATTCTTGCACTTATCCACACTAAATGTCAGTTGCCACAACTCTGGCCATTTTCTAGTTTACCTAAATCATTTGCCATTTGGCGTATCCCTCCTGGAACATCAACCCTGTTACATACCTTAGTATCATCAGCAAAAAGACATACCTTACCATCAAGACCTTCTGCAATATCACTAACAAAAATATTAAAGAGAATGGGTCCAAGTACAGATCTCTGAGGTACCCCACTGGTGACAAGCCCATGCTTCGAATATACTCCACTGACTAAAGCCCTCTGTTGCCTGTCACTCAGCCACTGCCTTACCCATTCAGATTCCTGGGAAACAAAAGTTTAAGGTACAGTTGCCACTTATGTTCAGCGCTTTAACTTCCCTATTCACACTAAAACTTCTGTCTTCTACTCCCCTGGTTCCTGATCCTGTTCATCATTAGGAGGTTAAAAAATAATAGCTGACATCAAGATAGTGGGAGAGAAGCGTGCATTCTGGACAGTCCTGCCAAAAACAAGACAGCTGGGAGATATGTAATAAGACTGTCATTTTAGAGCGAGAAATTGTCCCAGTTTGGGACACTACGAAAGGAACCCTGTAAAAACCTACAGGCATGTGAAGAACAAATGTTAAAGTGGAGGCACTTTAATGGGCTCATTCACTATATTACAGAGAATTATACGCTTTTGCATGTAAAACTAATTTTAATCACTTCCTTTTAGTGGTCTGGCATTTCAGTCCAATTGTTGATGCTAGGGACATTATTTGCCTATACAGAGCAGAGATGTGATACTCAGATGTCCGCAGAAAGCAATGCAAATTACCCACTGGATTGTAAGAGACTATTTATAGCCTTTATAGCATAAAGAAGGATATTGAGTATTCCTCACCCCCACAAACCTCCCTCAAACACACACTGTAAATTTGGCTTGTGAGGTGGAAGTTTCTGTGAAACTGGAAAAATTTACTGTAAAGAAGACTGTCATTTTTAAAAAAAAATAAATATGAACAAAATAATGACTGAATTTAACTATCACTTTTTCAGAACACTTTTTCAGAACACTCTCATAAATATCCCTCTTAAAGAGACACTATAGTCACTGAAACAAATACAGCTCAATGTAGTTTCTGTAGTGTCTATTATCTGTCCAAGCAGCATTTTAACGTAAACAACGCATTTTCAGAGAATGTACTTCTGCTTACTCTAACAAAACTGTCAACATGTGTATTGTTTACAAGGAATACACTATAAAGCATAAAACATGGAAATGTGCAATCACCATTATAATCTATAAATATTCCTTATAGAAATTTCTTTGACAATGACACCATTTTTCTCTTGCAGGACTATTCATTTCTAGAGTCCACGTTGCAGTACCATGGGAATCCAGCTTGGACCTCCACCTGTCGCTTGATTTGAATTCTAAATAATGTTTCCCACCCATTGATGTGAATTAAAGGCAATACCTTGAGGGGCAAGGTTTATGCACCCTCAATTAACTGATCTTCTTTCTGATGTTCACAAAACAAACACAATTTAATTTCGTGCAGCTCAGCTGACTCTTCAGCAACACCGACATCCCCCACTTAATTTCTCACCCTTCTCTTGGTCCTAACACCTCCCTCCCCCACTTAAACAACACCTCTGTCACTTTATGAGAGATTGGGGGGAGGGAATCTGTCAGCAATGAGCCCTACTGAATGAAGAACCACTTAAAAACTTGACAGCATATAAAATGCCAAACACCATTCATATCAGGTAACTGGCTGAGAGTAATGAGAAATGTAATCCAGGAACAGTTATCCAGCCTTTCACCAAGATAATTGAATTCCATTTATGTCATAGATGTTGATTTATATTTTCTAAACATAGGCACGTCACTAAAGGGTAAATCCAAGCACCATAACCACTACAGTACACTGTAATGTTAATGATGCAAAAGGTGCCCTGGAGTTGT